CCCCCCCCAACCTAGTCACCTCTCTTGACTGCACAATTCCTCTCTCCTCTAAAATTGTGTAATCTTTCATTCTTACAAATATTTTTGGTGACCATCCTCTGTACATCATGAATGTGTCAAATTTTAATCATTTGCAGACTTACATACACGTACAATTAATTATATAAAGTATACACAAACATACACACTCACTCAAGAATACTTCGTCATCTAATGACGTGTGAACTGCATTCAAAATTCGTGGCCTCAATCTTTGCAGGAGATGAACCCAATATGGCTTCCTGGCTCCCTTGGGGACCTCAAAAGAATAACACGCATCAGGGGTAGGCCAGACATACATTAGGCCGCAGTGCGGCAGTATATAATGGCTCACGTGGCGTTCGAGGAGGTGTGCGCCTCTCATTCTATAAGTCCCGGGTTCGAATCTGCAAGGTGACGGTGAATTTTCTTCTCTGAAATTTTCTCCTTTCACATCCTTTCCTGCTCTCTAATAATGTTTCACCTCCTTTGCCCCCTCCTCTGGCCCGGGCTCCTGACTCTTTTTTGCAGCCTTTCTACTGCCTTGGCTCCTTCTTATTGCTGTCTTTCAGCCACACCCCTGAACTTACGGTAGGGAAGCTCTATAGCCTTCTTTGATGAAGAGGAAAAATTTCAGAGGTCCTGTGTGCAAGTTACACATGTTTAAGATCCCTTTGTGGTCCAAAATCTATAAGAGTAGAAGCTTTGGCCACCACCTAGGCAAAAATCCAAATTTTCAATCAACTGAAAATATTAACTGCGTCCCGTGTTGCGAGTGCCATAAAACACTTACCAAAAAAACAACCAACAAACAAACAAAAAAAGACATGCATTTCGACCAAAGAGACAAGCAGGGAGAATTCAAATATGATTCAGCCTCATTTAAGGTACCTTGAATTCAATGTTGAGCACATTGAGAGTCATTTGTGTTTTTTCTCTTCCACAGAATCAACAGGTTGGCACAGGAGGACTTTCAACAGTCAAAAGAATTAACAACCAAGAGGCAACCGTTTATATTGTACAACAATAGCTCTTCCAAAGAAGTAAGTCGACGTCCTTTATGAAGATTTGTACACCAGAAGTTGATTATTACCGAAATTTATGTCAGAGATGGGCAGGATCTAGATCTATATATGAATCATTGTTAATTACAGTCGAACCTGCCCTGACGGCCACCTGTACAAACGACCACTTTCCATTTCCTCCCTTGCATTTTTTCTATATAATTTTACTGTGTAAAACGGGCACCTGTCCAATGCGGCCGCAGCCACCATATTTCAGCACACAACCCCTATAACTTCAAACAATAACATCTGTCTTAGACGGCCACCTTAGTGACTCCATTACGTTTTGTCATAAATCAAGCATTGGCCCCTGGCGTTGTGGGCAAGCCGTCATAATCCAATCACGTGGCATTGTTGTTAGGTAGTCCCTCCAACCGATCATGTTGCGTAGGCCCCTCCCACTGTGGACCAATAGGTAACAAATTTTCAGCTGCTGGTGAGGTAAGCATGCGATCCCTCATAACCCATAATAAGCCCCGCCCAGGACTCATACACAAATCGTAAGTGAGATGACTGGTCACTGTTTACCCAGTCTGTAACAAAATAACAATGGACGTCAACATGAACTTGTGACAGAAGCGTCGCTCATTCTCCGAGTGGTAGCGACCCGTGTGTTTGTTTTACCATAGCACTCGGTCCTCCTTGTCTGACACATTTCATTTTATTGTCACCCTTGCACAAACGCAACTACAAAAGATAAAAAAAAGTAAAAAAACTTCCAGCGAAAACAACAACAACAACAAAAATAACAACAACAACAATGCGGCTACCTTCGGTTAGGACCTCAGAAAGGAATGGTTTGTTTTCTTCAGTTTGATCAATCCTGCCTAAGACGGCCACCTGTCTTATACGGGCTTTTTTCTCCTTGACAATGGGCGGCCGTCTTACACAGGTTCGACTGTAGTTGCTGTTGGAAGTTGTGATGACTTGACCTTTCATTACCAAGTCAAATTGAACAATAAAAATTATTCTGATATTAGAAAATAGATCCTGTCTGAATACTCAACCCCTCTTTCCCATATGCTTTAAAACCATCTGAGATGAGAATTGTATTGAGGGTTTTTCTTTTCAAGGATGTTGTCATTATGTAAAATGTTTGATAATAAATAATTTCTTATGTTAGTCAAGCCCAGTATATCTGTGAAAATCACGGGCTCACTCTTCAATAAACAACTTCAACATTCAGGTCTGGGATGTTGGAATAGAAATGACTCATTACATGATTATATTTTCTTTAAGTACTTAAATACCATTACTACTTTTTAAACTTGCAAATCTATCTGCAAATTATATTGAAGTATATGAGCGTGAACTATGAATTTATTTCAAATTTCTTTCAGAGAGTTGAGTTCACCTCATTCAGTGAAGCCATCGTGCGACTTGATATGAGTGGTGCTGTAAGGGATATCAAGAGGGCAAATTATATGACAAAGGTAATTGGTAAAATCATTTCCTCCTCCAACTCCTCCTCCTGCTCCTCATTGTGTTTTGTTTCTCACAGAAAAGATGTTTCCTGACTTAACATTTTTTATTTGTTTTTTCTAAGGACTGAAGTTGTGGTATGTACATTTTTTTTTAAAGCTGAGAATTTTGTTAAATATGAATCTTGAGTACCTTGGGTCAGGAGTTATGTGATAATCTTATAGTTCAAATCTTATAGCCGTATGTAGTCCTTTAAAGTTAAAAACATTTTTTATGTTTTATATGACATATTATACTTTTGCCTGAAAGTTTTCATACGATCATGTTAGGTGCAAATTGACTTCTCAGATTCCTATATTTTGTAGCCCCCTCATCCCTCCAAAAAGACAATTTTTGATGGCCTATACTGGGTAATTTATTCACAGCTTCTCTCGCAAATATTGGAGACAAAACTGCCCAGTCTCAGTGGAACTTCACAGAAACATATCTTAAACATTCTGGAGTCAATGGTCAATGAAGGTAGGTTTGATACTTTAGCCTTGTTGGTTGTATGTATGTTTTAGTTTGATAATTTAGAAAGTTTGTTTTAATTTTATGAGGTTGTGTAAAAAAAAAAGTTATTTTCAAACTTTTTGTCTTTTCTGTTGGTTTTGGCTTTTTCAACACAGATCATTATTGAAAAGGTGGTACCTCTGATTGAATGTTCGTTTACGTTAAAACTGAACCATTACCACTGAGCTATAAAAATACTTGTAAATCATGGTTCTAAGTTAAACCTGCAGGGATGAATTCCAGTAAGCACGAAACTAGAGTTGCTGAAGTGACTAAACAATTTAGATATATTTTAAGAAAGACCAGCGTCATTTAGTTCATCCATGAAAAACATGTTATGTCCTAATAAGCAGAGGAAAACTTTTGGGGAATGTGGTTAGTTTTGGCTGGTCCATGATATTATGCAATGTTACTTTGTGTGGGTTTTTCTGTCTTCTTTTCAGCTCATTGCTTGTTTCTTATGTACAGAATCAGTCTCACTGGTGTTTGTGGTGAAATAGTTAGCCTCTTTGATGATATACGTTAAAGATGTGAGTTTGATTCCAGGGCTTTGAAACCTTTGTGTTATAAAGTATTTCTAAATTTATGGTAATTTGGAACGTTGTAGATATATCCTACTCAGTTAAGTAAAAATCGAAGCAGCCCACCTCCTGATTTCAATTGAATTATCAAAATTTTGTTTATGGGAAAGTCATAGTTTACAATAACAATAGAATTGGCCTCTTGGCTTTCTGAACACTCCCATTCATTTTCAGCTCTTTTTAAACTAGCAAGTCAGACAAGGTTCTTTAGAGCATAAAGCCCCAGTGTTGATGTGATGTGTGTCAACTTGCCCTCGTGTTCCATCCTTGTAATTAACCTTAATCACTGACTGTATGCTATCTTCTTTTAATTCTAACTAGTGCACTCCTAATTGCTGCCACCAGCTACTTTTAAAAAAAGGAATTGTGAAAATATAACTGCACTGTGGTTTAATTATTTATTTAGAATCTGCAAAAATATTCCTTTTAAGAAAAAAATCAGCGACTATCTCAGTTTTTATGCAGAACTAGACATTGACTTGATAACTTTTTTAGTGATGTGGAAAACTATTGAGGGTGTTTTTATGTCTTTGCTTGTTTATGCAGCTATAAAGACAGAACTGAACATTGGTTTGATGAAGGATCTGCTAGACTGTGCTCATGATGCCCTGAAGGAAGGCAAACATTACCACATCGGCAGTCAATGTTTATGGTCAAAGCACAATGAAACTGTGGACAGATTGAAAGACAAATTGGCAGAGTATCAGCTAAAAGAGGTAAATGAAATTCAAGAAATCCTTTGACAATAAGAATACAGCGAAAAATCTTGAAGTTTGAGGAACATGGAAACCCTGTTCAATGAACAGGTTTAGCAGTTTCAGCCCTTCACAGTAAAAGCATTTTGCTGTAAAAGTTTTTGTTTTTATTTCTTTTCATATTTCACAGAAATAGTACTCATTTTTTTAGAGGACAAAATTGCTTACTAGCATTGACTATTTTACCTCATAGCAACAGCCATGGTACATGCAAATAGTAATCCCCAAAGAATTTCAAGTACAAGTCTTTAAAAAATGGTTATATGTACCATGAAAATGCAATTGGCTTTTTATCAGAGGATACCAAACATATCATAATAAGGGTGATGACAATTTCTTGAATCATGCAGGATTGATAAAAGTTAAATTAAGTGTTCAAAATTCTTGAATTGGGTGACTATCTGTAAATGACTAAGTTTGTTCCAAGCTTACAATATAGGGTGAAAGAAGAAAATGTTATCATAGAATAATATGTATTTGTGTTCCTCTGCATATCGTTATGTAAATATTAATTGAATATTAGAGCTTTATTTTATCTGTTTGCATTATTATGCATTATTCTATCTTAGAATAATATGTATTTCTGTTCCTCTGCATATATTTATGTAAATAGTATTGTAAGTTAGAGCTTTATTTTATCTGTTTGCCTTTTACTACTTGTGGATCCTTCTAATATATCAGTCTGCTGCTTCACTATTTTCTCTCATTGTTTCTTTACAGCGAAAAATGAGAGTTGAACAGAGTTGCTTAAAAGTTACAGCGAGTTCTTACCACCACCAGCGCATATCAAATAGCTCAAATAGGGAAAGGAAAAATATTTGGTAGTGGACATGCTTGAGAATGAAATTTGCAAATGCCTTGTATATGAATAAAGTTGATAGTGAAAACGAAAATCATAAATGCTCACCTTTCCCTTCTGTATTAAGTGTTAGGCTTCATGCACACATGGCAAATTTCCACTCATGGCATGGTTGCCAAGTATGATATCGCTTAGCAGTGAAGAGAAACAAATGAGTGAAACATTATTTGCAGCTGTGTGATGAGTGGAAATTTTCTCAGTGTGCATGGCGCCTTACTTATATCACAATTCATAATTTTTGCCAAATGTGTTAGTGGCATATTTTTAGTACCAGTAATAAATGGATTATTATAATGTGGTCCTAAAAATATTGGATAGCGGTACTGATCTTTATGTATCTATTGAGTAATTAATTTTTAAAACTATTCATGATGCATGATGCTTATGGTAAGCAAGGTGCTTAGTTTTATTGTGTCATTTTGTTTGTTCCTTTTGTAATAAAATTTCTTTCAACATGGTCACATCCAAATAAAAATCTCAAATTTCAGAGAAACAAAGATGGCAAACTTATGTTGGCAGATCTTCCAACAGATTGTTTGAGAGTCATATTCTCACAAATACCAGACCATAAAGATGTCCTAAGGGCAGGACAGACGAGCATGACGCTTAATCAGGTACACTTACATTATCTGGTATTTTCTACCCTTTCAACACAAAACAGTAGAAAAAAGCCTATGAAACCAATTTTGCAACCATGTTATATATAAAAAATGTTTTATCAGATTGTAGAATTTGACAGAATCTGAGTTATTTTACTGAATGTTTTGGGGGTTTTTTCATGATGAAAATTGGAATATAATTGTTGCTAAAACACGTTTTATGTCTTCTTTTTCTACATAGTTGACATCAAGTGGATTACAGGAGCTTCAGATTAAAGATTTTAATTTACAAAAGTCTTATTTTAAGCATGCTGTATTTTCTAAAGACAGCGATCAAAATTTACATGTGCAACGCAATTGAACTGTTGTGTACATCAAATATTTGGCAGGCTTTCTTTGATTTTGTTGACGATTAAATATTTTTGTTTTGCATCATGTACAATATTTTGTTTTCCTTTGAAGGTTACTGAAGAGAGCAGTTTGTGGAGAGGAATGTGTTTGTATCACTTCAGCAATCGTCAGATCATGACTTTTCTTCCAAAAGATCTTGAAAGTGTTGAAGTTGACTGGAAGTACATTTACAGAAGATGCTACAAGTGAGTAAATAGATTACATACTTTTTTACTCTCTGTATCAGGTCTCTTTGTCAATGCTTAGTAATATTATGCAGATGCCTTCTTACTTCTAATTTAAAAAAACCCAACTAAATGTCTACTTTCAAAACCATACCATTTTAATGTTTGATATTTTAATGGATCTTTTCCTGTTAAAAAAATCTAAAACAAATGAGTTAATCAGTTAGAACAGTCTTGTTTTTAAAAAATTTGATTATTGTTGCCCTTTATAAACCAAGTCTTTCTGATTATCTCGTCTTCCCTCCCACCCCCTATCCTTTTCATCTTTTCCTCTCTCCTCTCTGCACTTTCCCTTTCCACCATTCCCTCTCCTCTCCCCTGTCCTCACCTCCCTCCTCCCACCTTTAGAAAACAAACTATTAATAAAGAAGAAACATAAAAAAATACATGAAAATACTATGGCTGTCTATAGAATCTTCAGCAACACTAGTTTGAGTCACCATGTAAAGCGAGGTCAGAGTTACTCTTTATTCTAGAGACAGATACGATATGCACTTTCATAGTACCAAATGTATCTAAAAAAGTCTTCAATAAACTTAGTTTTATTTGTTTTTCATCTTTATCAGGCGATTTGGGAGGAAAGACGCCTTTGCTGACATGCTCGCTATTTGTTGCCAGTGTGACAGCATCCATTGGAAGGTAATCTTTGTCAAAAGAGCTCCATCCCGCGGTCTGATTAACTGTTTCATCAATCTTCCATCCTCTTTTCTCTTTCCCTCTATCTTTCACCCCCACACTCTCTCTCTATCTCTTTCTCTCTTTCTCTCTCTCTCTCTCT